TCCACAAGTGTCTTTCCTAAATGGTATATCAGGTCTCAGTTTGGATAACTGATAATGCTAACTTCCACTTTACTTAACATGCAAACCTAGGTGTTGAAGCCCTGATGCATTAATCAGGGCCTTTTAAGGAAGCCATCTAAGAAATGGGCTTCTTCTTACATATACTCAGTGAGATTTCGGAACACTATTGTCAGGAAATACAAGCAATCCCTGAAACTTTTTCCCCCTGGGTTATCAGAGTCCGAGACAATTGATGACATTACATTGGTCGTTCATTTTAGATTCGTGGAGCCCACAAAAATCAATAGTTTTCCATTATCAGGTCCAGCTGGGTCACTAGTCTGTCAATGAGCTGTTACAATTGCTGTACAGGGGTGAGCCTGACCAGTCAATTGCTGCTGACAAGAGGAAAACATGCTGACAGCCACGGGAACAAGTCAGAACACAGATTTGCACTTCAGTTTGCCATCCAAAGAGTCTCAGAGCAAGGCTATTTTCAAGACACAGGGCACACTCCCTGAGAGGTAGGGGAGGGGAGCCTACCACCCCAGGGGTTTGTAGCACAAGTGCCTAAGGGCCTGTCCTGGCTCCAGGCAACCATCTCTTGTACAGGTTATCTGCAGTGACTGCCTTTGTTAGTAAGAAGGCATGTATCTGCCGAATTGTCCTCAACACATGATTGTACCCAGAGTAAGATTAGGAGAAAGAAACTCGACTTTTACTACCACTGATCTAGATGAAACCACACATATCTTGGGAAATATAAAAAGTTCAAGAGGAAGACAATGGGCTAAAGGCACCAAATCTGAACAAATATGACTAAATATATTGCAAGTAAGTATTGACTGAAGACAGAAGTTTCTCTGGTGTTGGCACATAGGCCTCTCCCTTGTTTCCTCATCACTTACAACATTATCTATACTTCGAGCTCAACATAATATAATTCACCAAACTAGGCAACTCTGACGATGTCTGAGCCATAGCCCTCTGTCTGATGCAGTGGGCTGAGCAAGGGGAACTGAGGTCTAGTCTTGTCTTGTCCATAATTAGGAAGTGGGAGTACACAGTGGTGAGCTTGGACATGTATCTTAATTTCCTACCTTCATAAAAATGAAGACATGCTTGCCTTACCTGTGTTACAAGGTTGTGTCATGAGATTCAAAATGAGATCAGTTGAGAGCGAACTCTGTCCAGGTAAAGGACTGTGTGTGTGTGTGTGTGTGTGTGTGTGTGTGTGTGTTGCTCTCAAGGCTATCCCCACAACAAGAAGTGTGTAAGCAACTGAAGGAAGTTCTACTCCAGAATAATCCATTTTTGGTCTAGACTGAATGCTCTCATTAGTTGAATACATGAATAATCTCTAAAGACCATCATGAGTGAATGGAAGAATTTAGAGGATAGCTCAGAAGTCCTAGTGGGTTTTGTGGCTGTCCTTAATTCATACAGAAGCTGATTAAGATACTGGCAGAGTGGACACACACCATCTGGGGCATATGCATTTGTGTAGCATTCTGGTCTCCTCACCCTTATTTGATTTCAGACATCAAACTCAAGAGCTCAAAAGATAAATATTTTGAATTTATTTCAATATTATGATTTTTAATGTTCCACTTTTATTAATATCTTTCAAGTATTAAATTGAAGCCTTTTTTCCCCAATGCCTCCAGTCCTAGGTTGGAATCTTTTGGAAGTCAACACTCACTTGAGCTCCATCATCAAAGCCGGTAATCAACTGTATTACTGGAAGCCAACTAGCTAGGGTTTTTTTTAATACTACCAAAAAAATCATTTTCTTTAAAAAGTAGTTTTAACAAGAGCAAATTTGCTGGTAATTAGATGAACCAGTCTTATGTCTTCCAGCACTTGGAAGCATGAAATTCATCAGAACTCTCATAGCATTAATTAAAAAGAATTTATATTTTTTTAATAAAATGCTTCATGTTTTAGCTCCTTTATTCCTCCACCAAATGTGATTATGTGGGGGCTGAAGGGAATTCAGGTTAATATGTTGACACACTTAACAATGCAGGGTCATGTTGCACAATACGCTTCACTGGTTTGGTTCAGTACACCCCCTGACAAGGCCTAATCATCCCCTGCCCTAAAGGCAGAGGGAAAGAGAGGATTTTAATTACTGCTCTGTATGCAAGTTTGCCAGCATTAAATTGAGACATAATTAGGCCTCTGAATTTTAATAATTGTCCTAGCTAATTGGGCAGACAAGTACGTTATACAGCATGCCGTGATTAGATAATTAGTATTTCCAAATGACAAAATTGGGCTCTTGATTACAAATTCTACATAAAGGGGAAAAAAGGTAGCAAGCAAATCTTTACAAGTCTATTAAGGGAGAGTTTAGTGATGTTGGTAATTTAAAGTCCATTAGGAAGCAACATTTCATTCTCAGAGCGGGTGTCTGGGACAAGGGCCTCTGGCCTGCACTGGCTCCCTCTTAAGGCTCTTCCCCAGGGTGCTCTGCTTTTTCCTTTTTTTTTTTTTGAGTTGGAGTCTCACTCTGTCGCCCAGATTGGAGTGCAGTGGCCGCTCCCGGCCACCGCAGCCTCGACCTGCTGGGCTCTGGCGATCCTTCCACCTCAACCTTCCGAGTAGCCAGAATTACAGGTACGTGCTACTATGCCCGGCTGATTTTTTGAGTTATTGTAGAGATAGGGTCTCGCCAAGGCAATCCACTCACCTCAGCCTCCCAAAGCATGAGATTACAGGCTGAGCCACCGAGCCCGGCTGTGCTTTTTCTGATGTCTCCTGCAACCACTCTCTCCCATCACCCCAAAGCTTAGCAACCATCACTGACCTTGGGTGAAGTCTCATTGGCTAAATGGCAGAGGATAACTCTGAAAAAGAAATAACGGATGCACTAAGGGTAGAACAGAGAAGAGATCATCTACCCAGGTGGGAGGGAGTATTAGGTATCCACTAAGGCTTTCTCTTGCAAAAAGCTGTTCTTTTAATCATCTCACAGAATTCACCACTCTCACTGAATCATTAGTGCCACTAAAATCTTTTTGGAGGAAGAAAATCTTAAATCAAAATCTTAAATTTCTGAGGTATTTTATTATTGGGATGAAGAGTGTGGGAACTGGATTTTAGGTCATCATTTACTAGGAAGTGTGAACTTGGAAAAATTACTTAATCTCTCGAAGTCTCAGTTTTCTCTTTGGCAAAATAAAGAAGCTTCCCCAGTAAGATTGTTGAAAGGATTAAATAAGAAAATACAGATACAGATGTTCCCTGACTTAGGATGGTTTGAACTTTTGATGTTTTGGCGTTATGATGGTGCAAAAAGCTCCTCGACTTGGGATGGGGTCACGTTCAATATAAATTGAAAATAGTGTAAGTTGAAAACATACTTTTGACTTACGATCTTTTAAATTTACCATGTGTTTATCACGACAACCTCATCATAAGTTGAAATGCACCCATTTAAAGCACAGTGCCTGACATGGATTAAATGCTCAATACATATTAGCTATTAAATGCAAAATAAAGCAGTAACATTGGAAGGCACAAGGTGATGGCTGTGTCTGGCTCTGTGCTATGCCAGTCTTCAAATGAAGCAGGGTCCCTAACCCCGTTGCTTTCTGAGAGAGGAACATCATACTCCATTTATGCTGGGGGGTTGGGGGAGGCAGCCCATGGCAGCAGCTGCCTCTGCAACTCAAATGCCCAACCAGATTTCCTTTCTCCCCATTCTTCAAGGGGTGGCACTGCAGATAAGCCCTACTATGCAGAAGTCATGGGAACCATTAACCTAAAAAGAATGTGGTAGAAATTCTGCATCTCGCCCTCACACTTTGTGACTCACTGCATACAAATCACTTTATTACCGCAGAGGCATACTTCTAGCTGCTAAAGTTTTCTCACAATCAATAATCAGTAGGCTAGGATCTGGAGCCATGCTTTTCAGGTAAAAGGAATATTAATTGAATGCAAACCAGAGCCTTTCTAAGAAATGGACAAGTTGTTCATGGATGACTGTCTGGTGAAAGTCTATTAGGGGAAAAACTTACACATTCTGGATGTATATTTCTGACCATCGAGGATAAGGAAAATAACATCTCCATGGTCTGGTTCAGTCAAGACAGCCTACCAGATTGAACCAGCATTTCTTTTGACTTTCTTAGAGCTTTGTGTCATCTCATTTATGAATGATGGAAGAGTTTTCTCTGTGGGTAAACTTTACATCACCCTGACATAATCTCTATAGAACATCATCACTTAAGTAGGGAGAGAGGTCAACAGCTTGAAACCTGGAGGAGGAAGAAGAAAAGAGTTAACATTAAGCGTAGAATACAAACATTCTGTTAGAAGCTTAGAAGCAAAGAGTAAGATATTATTCTCCTAGGTGGGAGGGAAGAGTGATCCTTATATCTAATCTGTATTTAAACAACAGGGAAACCTTTCCTCTGGGGGCTGCGAGCCTCTCTGTAGCTCACAGGGCCGCTGCTCGCGGGGTCACGCGGGGCGAAGAGTCGGGTCAGAGCTCCAGCCCTCATTGCACTTCCTAGTGCCAAGACGAAGCATCACTGCGTGGGGGGATAACTGTCATAAGGATTTTTTCCCCCCTGCCACATGATGCTGAGCTTCTCTCCCTCTCTTTTTGAAGAAGTGCGTTTATGACTGATCGCTCAACACCTTGTTGGTTCTGATTGCAGAAAACACACCTTATAAATATATGATAACCATCCTGTAATAGAGAGTGTGACAATTTACTTCACAGTGCGTCCCGGGCTGCTAATTGATCGTTTCAGTCCAAGGACGATTTGGAATAAATTATAGCCATCAAAAGGATATCACAGCTCATTTTGGTGGAAAGGTTTCCACGTCGCTTCGCGTTCGTCTCCCGGAGAGAGCGGATTGCCCCCGGCGGGCGGAGAGGAGGG